GATAAGGGCTCTCCAGAGAAACAGAACCAATAGAATATAGATAGGTAGATGATAGATAGATAGATGAGAGGGGATTTATTATGGGGATTGGCTAACACAATTATGGTGGCTGAGTGGTCCCACAGTACACTGTCTGCAAGCTGGAGAACCAGGGAAGCCAGTAGCATAGTTCAATCCAAGTCTCAAAGCCTGAGAAGCAGGGAAGCTGATGATGTAATTCTCAGTCTCTTTGGGGCTGCTGGTGCACATCTGGAGTCTGAAGGCCAGAGAATCTGGAGTTCTGATATCCAAGCTGAGCAGGAGATGGATGTCTCAGCTCCAGAAGAGAGCAAGAGAGGAAATCCGGTACGGGCGCAACACTGAGGGTTGCGATCCATTGCCGGACACGAAAAAAGACAAAAAAGGGGGATAAAAAAAAAAAAGTTCATGGAAAGATTCGTATGCTTTCAATTCCGTTTCTCCATGAACTTTTTGAAATACCCTCTTATAGCTGGATTCATCCGAGGTTGTACTTTTTTGAGATGAATGCAGTGATTGGAGAGTGGAGGAAGGAAATTAAGGCAATTAAGCAAGAGAATGAAGGATCATTAAATGTAAGCTGATTAAGAAGGGAATTAAAAGCAAGGGGAATGCACAGGGGGTTGTGAAAGGTTAGAAAAGGGATTTTATTCATTTATTCAGTTTACTCATTCACTCAACAATTGAGCTCCTACTATGTGCCAAACCCTGTTCTAACCTCTGTGTATATATTCAGGAATGGACTGATTACATTCTCATAGAGTGCAGTAAGTTGGACAATAAAAAATTAAAACCAGTAAGTGTAATTTAAAGTTAGGTATTTCCAGAAGCTATGGAGAAATATAAAAAGGGTAGGGGAGCTTCAGGTGGGAGGGGAGAGCAACAGCGGTTATGTAGAATGTCTGTGGAAGGGAATTATCTCCAGTAAAATTGAGCGAGACCTGGATGAACCAAGGAGGTGAGCCTGGGAAGAGCTGTGGAGTAGTATACTAGGCTGAGAGGACAGTGCATGCTTTTCTATTTTTTATGTCATTAGTAGTTGGAATAATAAGGCCAGCAAAACCATGATAAACAAGATATTTTTTCCTTCCCTATTGTGTTTTTAAATGGTGTTTTCATAAAACCGTGACACAGCTGGTTTAAACAAGTGGTTGTTGCATAAAAGTCATTAGAATGAGTAATCAGTTCAGTCAAAAGTCTCATTTAGGTAGACCAAATGTTTAAAATAACTGTAAATATACTCTATGTGATATATTCATGTCCAATTTGTTTGTCACTCCATTCTCCAGTGCCCAGCATTGGAATGCCACCCATAATAGGATTCAGTTAATATTTGTTGAATGACTTTTTATGCCCACATATAGTTTAACAAAACATCCCCCTTCAAACCTTTTTAAAGAAGTTCTTCTAAGGGAAGAATTTGAACACAACCCAAGGTCTCTTTTCTTTGCCCTGGGAGTGTGGGAGCTTACTTTAAAGGGCTTTGTAAAAAATTTAGATATAATTCACATACGATGGAATTCACTCTTTTGAAGTATACAATTAATTGGTTTTTAGCATGTTCACAAAGTTGTACAACCATCACCATTACCTAATTCCAGAACATTTTTATCACCCCAAAAAGAAATCTCATACAGAGTCATTAAATAGTCTCTCTGCATTCCCCCCACATCCCAGACACTGACAACCACTAATCTGCTTTCTGTCACTAAGTATTTGCCTGTTCTGGACACTTTATATAAGTGGAATCACATAATATGCTTCCTTTTGTGTCTGTCTTCTTTCACTTAATATAATGTTTACAGGGTTCATCAGTGTTATGGCAGGTACCAGTATTTCATTCCTTTTTATTGCTGAATACTATTCTATTATGGGGCTGTACCATATTTTATTTATCCATTCATCAGTTGATGGACATTTGCATTGTTTCCACTTTTAGGCTACTATGAATAATGCTGCTATGAGTATTTGTGTACAAGTTTTTGTGTGGGCATAAGTTTCCATTTCTCTTAGATACATACCTATAAGTGTAAATGGTTTTTTAAAAATACAGTTTTTAAAAATTTTGTCTAAAGGGCTGACTGGTTAGCTGAGTTGGTTAGAGCATGGTGCTGATAAAAGCAAGGTCCAGAGTTTGAACCCTGTACCGGCCAGCCACAAAAACAATAACAAAACAAACCATTTTATCTTAATAATATTTCGCACTTAACTTCATAGTATATGTTTTTAAAGAATACGTTAAGTTATTACCAGTTATTTACTTAAGCTGCTTGTTGAATTACTTAACTTTTCTCTAGAAATCTGAGTAACACTGGCCTTGCAGGAAGATGCCCCCTGTGTCCTGTGGCTCTGGAGACCCCTGGCTCATGGCATGCCACTCACTGCACGAGTGGTGCTGCTATTTCAGTAGTTTCTAGTGGGGCATTGGGAATGCAGCTCTGAACAGGTAGTGGCTTGTCTTTTTTGCCACTAACTATTGCTTCTTCCTGGAAGGATAATAAAACCTTGAAATTTGGAACTACGCAGGATTCCTGAAGCTCATCTATCCCAGTCCTTTGTTTTATAGATCCTTGAGCTGAAGGAGGCCCAAGAGGTTAAAATGCTTGTCTGAGTTCCTACAGCTGGTCAGTTAGAGAACTAGGATGAGAAGCCAGATCTCTTGACTCCCAGTTCAGTTCTCTAACTACTAAACTTCACTTTGTTTCTGTTATCTGGATTTAAAGTCATAAAACAAAAAATAAGCCAATTCATGTAGGTGATATTTTCAGATAAAAATTGAAAGAAAATGCTTTCAGAGTCATATACGGAAAAGCTGACTGTCAGCCTTGTGCTCATTGATTCACAGAGAGAGGAAGGGAAAGTAGGATTAATAAAAAAATACTATCACTACTAGTTTGTGCATAAAGAAGAAAGAGTTACAGACGTGTGTAAATACTCAGAGTCATAAACCAAGGTCAGCCATTTCTATTAACTTCTCTTACCAGTCAGCCTTGTTTCTTCTTATCACATTCTAGCATTTACATACCAGTAGTTTTAAAAAAGAGGTACAAAGATTAAGCATAATTATATTATCCAAGTGTAGTCGAATTATGCAATGGATTATGCAGTTAATCATTTGGCTCTTCTAAATGTCATGCTGGATATAGTTTATCCCTCTTACAGTGAGTCAGAAACAGGAATGGGTTCATTCACTATTTCCAGGAAGTAGCTTACCACCAGCAGGTGTTGTAACTGGTGGGAAAGGGTAGGACCGGAATGTACACTTATTTGGGATCTCAGAAATGTACCCTTGGGTCCCTGCATAGGACTGTACGTGAGGCCACAGGCAGCTGAGAGTGTTGGTAGCAGCCACAGCTACCCATCAGCTTAGAAGAGACTCCCAGTCTCCTATGAGTCCGGGAATGTTGTTCCCTAGCACAAATCCAAAAACAGGTGCCGTGTACAGCCCTCTTGTCCAGGCATGGGTCTCAGCTCTGCCATTTTCTATATGATCTTGGGCATATCACCTCAGGATCCAAATCCCTCATCTGGAAAATTAGGGGGTAGACTAGTTGACCTTTAAAAAATACTTTTGGCTTTAAAATGCCATGGTTCTACAACTTTGTGGTTTAAGATATCAAGTATATTGGGGATAAGAAGTAGTATATATTGGGGATAAGAAGTAGTATGTAAAGGTAAAAAGAGCTCAGGCCTTAATGTTATAGAGAATCATCTTTGGGTCCTATGTGACATTGGGCAAGTTCACTTAACCGCTCTAAGCCTTCCTTGTGTTATCCTTAAAAGGGGGATGATGACAATGGTACCTTCCTCACAGGGCTGTTGAAGGAAAAAGGGGCATTATGAAAGCAGCCACAGTGCCTGTACATCACAAGATTCAATATTTGTTAGTAGTAAGTAGTATTGTTATTTTCCTTAGGGACATTTTATCCTAATGATATCTTATTCCCTTTAGAACTAAATGAATATAACTCCAGCAAATTTTTGTAATATTGTAAAATATGTAGACTAACATTTTGTTTAAAAGATTGTAGTTCATTAGCCCTAAAGTAAAGTGAAAGGAAAAAACCTCCTGATTTAGATGACTGAATGGTAGGCTCAGTGGGAGAAGAAATGGGATGCCAGAGTGAAGGTGTGGAGCGAGTCAAAGAAATCCGACTGACTTTCTCCTTGGTTTTACTGTTGTCTGTGATCTTCCTTTCATGTATTTTGATGATGATTCTATCTCCAAATTAAGTTAAAAAAAATTTTTATCCATGTTAATGGCTATTCAGAAGTGAGGCCCTACGTTATTGAAAACACATAACAAACAAACAAGATTATTGTCATTACTGTTTATCATGTGGAAATAAATAGTAAATCTGTCCAACTCCATGTAAGCTGCCTCCTTGTGATTTCTGCCATTAAATATTGTTTTGGTGTGAACCAAGGACTTAGAAGCTTAATTTTGGAAACAGATACTCAGGTATGTTTCCTCAGCGTATTAGTATGAATCTGTAGACTCAACAGTGGTCAGCTAAATTATCCGAAGGAATTTATTTAAGATAAAGTATGTAAAGAGTCAGAACCCATGTGTAAAATATTGTGGTGAAAGCTGACAACTCTAACTTAGTTTATTGATATCTCGGAAAATTAACTATTCAGTTCTCAGAAGAAGAGGCAAGCTGTCTGTAGTGACTATGTATGTGATAAAGTGGCATGACAGTGTTGATAAGGTTTTTAATGATCATCTCTGAATATACTGCATCCTGTATGTCCCACACCTACCTACTCCACCACCATCTTATTCCACTCCATTGCTCTGTGTGACAAATAAGAAAGGAAAAGCTTCGACTCCCTGCTACAATCTCACAGGCTTCTGATGTGAATAACTCAATCCAGAAATGCCTTGTCTCCCTTAAAAACTGCTTTTCACAACCTTGTAATTTGTGGTTAGGGTAAATGTTCTTCAATCTTTAATATTTTTTTTAATACTTCTTTTACAGGAGGCCAGTTGTAAAAACTCCCTACCCATCCTTTTAACAAAAGGCTTAGAAAGAGACATGCTGAAACCATCTCCAAAAGCCAAGGTAAATGATGTGTGCTTTTCATGCCCCCCTGTGAAACCTTCCGTGGCTCCTCCGGCTCTCATGTTTACATGCCTTGCTGCTTGTATTTCCGTTAGCCTTTTGGGGCTTTTTGTGGGGAAGGGCTTCTGGTGTAAAAAGTACTTTTTATTTAGTGCATTTAATGCAAGTTTATATTCATCCAGAAATTCTCAGGACATTCCTATTATTTAACAGACAGTGATATTTTTCAGTAGTTGACTTTACTTCTGCTCTATTGGAATTATCTCCAGCCTCCAACATAGGGAATAGTTAAGTGTAGTAGATCTTTCCTAGGATACTTCTAAGCATGATAGAAATGTATGACATGCATTTTCCCTCATAGGGGTAAAGTAAGATATCCAAACAAAAATCACTTTATTGATTTTTTTCATAATTATAAAAATTATACATTACTATCATAGATATGATCATAGATAGGATCTAATGTGTAAAATTTTGTTTCCCTTATTAAGAAAAATTCAAATAGGGCTGGCCCGGTGGCGCACTGCTACAGTGCGCCACTTGGGAGCGCGGCGGCGCTCCCGCCGAGGGTTCGGATCCCACATACAGACCGGTTCCCGCTCACTGGCTGAGCGAGGCGCGGGGGCAACACCGAGGGTTGCGATCCCGTTGCCGGTCCCCGGTCCGGTAAGGGTGCGACACTGAGGGTTGCGATCCGTTGCTGGACACGAAAAAAGACAAAAAAGGAAAAAAAAAAAGAAAAGAAAAATTCAAATATACAAAGCCATTTTGTCAGTGAAAAGAAAAACTCCTTCAACCCAAAATATGACAAGAGAATTTGATGATTTGGTTGTCCACCAAGAAAACTGATTGTATTATTATAGCCCCTTACTTTCCTAGTCTTTAATCCTATCTTTTCAGTAGAACTTTTATTTACTAGGCATATATAATATTCCTAACTGTCCATTTATGACACTATAGAGCTACTTATTTTTCAGTTCGAAAACAAATGTTCTCCAAACTTTCTTGAATCCACTGTAGGCAAAATTTTTAACCTGGGAAGTTTTCCATTATTTTATTGAATAGGTTTTCCATGCCTTTTCCTTTCTCCTTCTTCAGGAACACTTATGAATCTAATGTTTGTGTGCTTAAGGTTGTCAGCTAGCTCTCTTAGATTTTCTTCATTTTAAAAAATTTTTTTTTCTTTTCTTTTTTTTTTTTTTTTGGTCCACCTGGGTTATTTTGAAATGACTATCTTCAGGATCAGAAATTCTTTTGTCTAATTGTTCTAGCCTCCTGCTTAAGCTATTGTTTGTATTTATTTTTGTATCTTTTTCACTGAGATATTTGTGTGAGCAAATTTACATATAATTAAATCAAGTGTATAGTAGAAATTTTGTTTACTGTGCAGTTAGTAAAAATGCAGTGTCAAAAATATACTCATCAAACAAATACATTGAAAAAATGTTGTAGGGTTTGAGGAATGTTTTTAGGTAATATTTTCTTATTAACTCCATTCATATTGATATAACTACTTTGAGGTTATAACACCCTAGATGAATCACTTCCTCAATCAAAGATACTCTTGAGGGGCTAGCCGGTTAGCTCACTTGGTAGAGTGTGCTGGTGGTAACAACGAGGTCACAGGTTCATATCCCCATACCAGCCAGCTACCAAAAGAAAGGAAAAAAAAAAAAAAGACACTTTTGAAACCAGTCCAAAAAATTGTTTAAAGGGATTCTATTACTTTCAGACTTCCATTTGGAATATTTTAGGCATATATAGAATCAATAATTAATTTGTATTTATGGTCCTCCTTCCCATCTAACTTGCTGTATGGTTTGTAGCCCAACTAATTCAATAGAGAAATTACTTCATTGGTAAGCCTTGGTTTGTGACTTTAGCTTCTTTGCAGCCTTACATGAACAATTTTAAGTTTACATGAGCTAACTAAGCTCTGCTGAGAATAGGAGTGATTATAATCTTTGTTCTTTCAAATCCCAGAAATGAAGCAGAGCATGTGAGTTACAAGAGATTACTAAGGCACTAATAATTCTCTCACCGAGATTTTATTTTAAGATATTTTTTCCTCTAGCTGATCTTTGACAGCTGAGGCTGAGAACACCTTTAAGATATGGTTGGTGTGTCCTTTCTAGAGTGACTTAGTGAGCTATGAGAACCACATGTATCCATGTTATTAAAGTTACTCTTTTTTGTCTCCATTGCTGTCTTTCTCAGACATCTCTAGTTACAGCTGCATTTGCCTTGGACAGCTAAATATTTCTTATCCCTATATGGGCTATGATGTAAAATGGTCATCCAGAAGTGGCCTGTGTCCATTAGCTCTTGAGATGTCTCTCTAGTCTAAGCTGTCTGTCCCCATGTGTTCCCTCTGCCAGCTGCTGTCTCCACTCTTGTACACTGGGAAAGATTATATTTCTCTTCCTTAGATAGGAAAGCCACTTCTTGATTTGAGTCCAAGGTGGAATAAATAACACCTCCATTACACAGTGCCGTGATACTTCCTGACTGAGTAATGATCCCCAGCCCTGCTAGCTCAAGGACATACCCTTATAACTATTTCATGCTCAATATTGTTTAGACCATATATGCAAACAAATAATTGGATTAGATGACACAGAGTAGAACATCAAGTAGATTTTTAGATAAAGAGATAAAGAGTGTAGAAAGACATAGCCCCTTGTAACCTAGTACAGTCATGACTAGGAGAGGAAAGGCTTTTCTACCAAGCACAGGTGCTGTCTCTAAATAAACTTCACAACCTGTTTTCACTGCTCACAGTATAAATGCTGAAGCGGATCCAGTGAACTGAGGGAAGGAAACAATCTTCCTTCTCTCTTCCCTTGGGGTACATTCTAGACTTAAGTAGTGTAGTTGCTGTGTTCTTGACCTCAGCAATAAACTCAAGTCAGGTCACTGTATGAGGATGAATAGCAGACTCATTCAGTTCTGGGATTAGGTATAAAATAGATGATCTATTTCCTTCCTGACTTTTATCAGTAATATTGATAAGAATTAATATTACAAGCACATAATAGTTTTGGTTAGTCACTGGACTTTCCTAAGCTTTTATAGATGTTTCCTTTAGAAAGTAGAGTCATATTAACTAGAAAATGTGTGATAAAGGTAATACTGTTTTTCAAGCAAACAGTCATGAAGTAGAAGCAACTGTTAAAGGATTTTTCTTTTCAAAGGTTAATGATTTCAGAGACCATGAATCATTTAAGAAGGAGATTTTCTTCGATAATGAGATTAGCTGTCACAGTTGTATTTTATTAAATGTTTTTAAAAATGCCTATGCTTATTAGCAAAGTAAACCAGAAACTTAAAATTATACAAGTTTTGGAGAAGACTTATTGGCAATATAATTTACTTTTCAATATACAAATTAATAGAGTAATTTAATAAGCATTAAAATTTACCAAGTTTCTAATGTATTTTAAAATCATTGTAAATGAACATGTATATATTTTACGTTGTTTCCATTAATATGTACATTATGATTAGTATTCTGCATCTTCCAGTTAACATTATTCTTACTGTGTATTTCCATACATCAGCCTAGTTATCATATTTATTCTTTTACTACAAGTAATAGTAGTAGTAATAGAAATAATAGTGATGGTGATGATGGTAACTAGAAATGATCCAGTGCCAAGCACCGTACTACTTGGTATATATTATCTCATCTAATAATCATATTTCATGTGTTGGGACATATTTCATGTATTTGGGATTATTTATAATTTATAATTACTATAAAAATCACTACCGTGTAAGTGCTAATAAAGAATAACTTTTGATTTTCTTAGATTAAATTACTATAGTGGAATTAAAGGATATGAATAGTTTTATGACTAATTACCCTAACGTACCATCTCTCCTCCCTCAAAGTAACACATTTTGAAATTAATGTTTATCATTTCATGCATGTTATCATTGGCTAACTGAATATCTATATTTCTATATACAACATATATTAAAAGTTTTGGAGATTTTAAAACTTTATGTAAAAATTAGTATGTGGTACATCACCTTCTATTTCTTCCTTTTTTTCTGTTCACTGTGCTCTATCAGTATTTACTTTCAGTAAGAATATGGCCATTATTCTAGTTTTTTCTGCAGTGTTTAGGTCATTTCCAATATTTTGCTATTACAAACCATTTGTAAGTGAATAATTTTCACATGATTCCTTTTACACACATGTGCTTATACATCTTTAACTTTTCCAAACATTACAAATGCTCTTGTAGGATGTTGCACCTATTTACATGCTCAACAGCTGTGTAGGATTGTTTGCATTTTTCACATCCTCACCAATCCTTGATAATATCAGAGTTTTTGTTGTTATTGTCTTTTCACCTATATAATGAGTATGAGGCGCATCTTGCTATTGCCTTCCTTTAGATTGCTCTAATTTCTAGTTGTGGCAGACACATTTAGTAGTCACTGAATATCCATGTATTTCCCAGCCCCTTTGCAGTTAGGTGGGACTAGCCAGCTACTTCTGGCCAATAGGCTACGAGCAGAAGTGACAAATGTCACTGCAGAAGCAGAAAATTCAAAAGTCTGTGTACAACTCTCTAGCCCTTTCTTACTGTACAGCAATTAGACATGGGTCCGTCGGTGACTTTGCGGAACAAAGCCCTGTGTCATCCGGCATTGTATCTGTGTTATAACCAAGAAATAAACCTCTGTTTTGTAAAACCCCTAAGATTTCTGGGTTAATTAATAACTTCATCATAATGTAGTCTATCCCAGTTAATTCAAGTGTGCGGCTTTTCGTGTGTTTATGTGTTTTTGTTTTGTTTTGTTTTTTGCAGCTGGCTAGTACAGAGGTCAAACCCTGGACCTTGGTGTTATCAGTACCACGTTAATCAACTGAGCTAACCGTCTAGTCCCCAAGTGTTTATGTTTTCCTACGCTTATTAATGTTCGATCATATGTATGATCATTACTCTGTGTACTGCTTTCTCCTATCATTGACAATTTTGCTATTG